TGGTGTTGATAAGATAGACATACGTGGTTGCATGTCATACATATGGCCCATGCACCACTTCCACCCCCTTTCCCATATCATTTGCTTGTAATATATATGTGTGTAATTCGTATATTCAATGTAAGAGACATGCATGCTAATATATTATGTTCATCTCACTTTTACTTGAGGCTTTTCTCATTTTCAACAGTTTCGTACTTTTAGAATATTTCACAATTTCATCATGGTATCAGAGACGAAATCCTGGAAAGAATTCTAACTTTTCATTCCTTACGTTCAAATAATTCTCCTATATCCGTATTAGGCTATGGAGGTTGGTGATGTCATCATTAAGCCCATATATGAAAATATGGGTTGTTTTTCTTCTACTGCTCAAGCAAATATAGCATGCACATCCACGCATGTTTATCCTTGGATAATTGATTCCGGGGCTACTGAGCATATCACTTGTAGTGATATTAATCTTTTTAATATTATTAGTCACGCGGCGGAATCATCGGTCAAAATTCCTAACGGCGAATCAATTCCAGTTCATGCTGTCGGAAGCTTATACTTACCCAATGGGATCTGTCTTGAACGTGTTTTATACATTCCAAAATTTCAGTGCAATTTACTTTCTGTCAGTCGCTTAACAAGCGATCTAAATTGTACACTGACATTTTTTTCAGATTTCTGTATTTTTCAGGACGTACCCTCGAGAAAGCTAATTGGTGTGGGTAAATCTCGTGATGGGCTCTATTACTTGGAGCCTTTGAGAAGTGAAAGGGTGGCAATGTCAGTCTCTATTACCTCCGATTTATGGCATCAACGTCTGGGACATGCATCTGATGGAAAATTACAACACATTAGTTCTCTCAAAGGTTTTCAACGAAGTGGTAATTTTTGTGATCCCTGCGTGCGGGCAAAGCAGACTAGACTTTCTTTCCCTACAAGCAAAATCAAGACAACTCGTAGTTTCGAATTAATACACTGTGACATTTGGGGAGGCTACAGGTGTGATTCAATTTCCGGAGCACGGTATTTTTTATCTATTGTTGACGACTTTACTAGAGGTGTGTGGGTTTATTTAATGAAAAATAAGTCTGAAGTTGCTCAATTTTTAATTCAATTTTGCAACATGGTTGATACCCAATTTGAGAAAAAGGTCAAACGAATACGGGCAGATAATGGTATAGAATTTCAAAGCAATCATTTATTTGATTATTACCGTCGCTCTGGGATACTATTAGAAACCTCTTGCACAGACACACCCCAACAAAATGGAGTTGTAGAGCGTAAGCATAGACACATATTGGAAATTGCGAGGGCCCTACGTTTCCAATCTGGTTTGCCTAATGATTTTTGGGGAGAGTGCATATTGACAGCAGTTTACATTATAAATAGGCTACCTTCACCAGTTATTTTTAACAAAAGCCCTTATGAAATGTTATTTGGAAAAACTCCTAGCTATGATCATTTGCGGGTGTTTGGGTGTTTGGTATATGCCCATGATAACAAACGAAAAGACAAATTTAGCGAAAGGGGGAGTCCTTGTATATTTATTGGGTATCCATACGGTCAAAAGGCTTACCGAGTTTTTGACTTGCAAAAACACTCTGTGTATAGCTCTCGGGATGTGACATTTTTTGAAGAAGTTTTTCCGTTTAAAATGATTAAAAACCAAGAGCTTGATTTCGGGAATCTTATTGATCAAGTACTTCAAGAAGTATTGAAACAGGGATCTACAGTCGTCCAAAATAAACACCTCAATGGTGATTTTTTTCGTCCGAGCTCCAACGACGAAGAAGGGCGTTTGTTTATTCAAAAGGAGGGAGAGCCGGTCATTTCAGTTAAAAGTCAATGCATTCCAAAAGAAAAAGATGGGAGCACAATTATTTTGGATGCATGTGATGATAATAGACCGACACAACAATCTCCACTTCTTGGAAGGGCCATTGAAAACCAAGCAGGAGCAGCACCAAAGGACCCCACTGGACAGCCACCCATTTGCATTGATTGCATGGATAATTCAAGCAATTATCTATCTAGTGGGTTGCTGCATACAAATGATATAGCCACCACACAAAACTCTTTTGAGCAATGGGACCCCAATGAACAGTTTACTCAAAGAGACAGAAATGATTTGGACGGGAGTCACCTTCCCGGTCCACATGCAAATCCTCCAAAACTGAATGACCCCATCTCAAAATCACAGGCATGCATCGAGGAAAATAGGCACGAACAACCGTCAATAGTGACTGAATACATTGCACCACAGGATGGACTAAAACGAGGAGAGAGAACTCGGAGATTTCCCAAACATTTAGAGGATTATGAGACTGACATACCACCTTCACTTGATCACTCACGGTCAACCACCGCCAATTCAGCTAACTCAACGGTATATCCTATTTCTCATTTCATTAATTATGATAAATTTACACCCACTCATAAAGCCTATCTAGCGGCCATCACCTCACGTGATGAGCCCAAATATTTTTCACATGCCGTACAGGATCCTTTGTGGAGAGAGGCCATGCAAAAAGAGATTAATGCCCTGGAAGAAAATAACACTTGGACTTTAGTCGATTTACCACCTGGGAAAAGAATCGTGGATTCCAAATGGGTTTACAAAATCAAATATAAACCCAATGGTGAAGTAGAACGTTACAAGGCTAGATTGGTAGCCCGGGGTTTCACTCAAGTTGAAGGAATTGATTTTCACGAGACTTTTGCACCGGTTGCTAAGCTTGTCACGGTGCGATGCATGCTAGCCGTCGCAGCTAAGCGTAATTGGATTGTACACCAACTAGATGTGAATAATGCTTTTCTCCACGGTGATCTCTCCGAGGACGTCTATATGCGCATTCCCCAGGGATTCGTGAAAAAGGGTGATAATCGTGTTTGCAAATTACAAAAATCCCTATATGGATTACGGCAGGCTTCTCGCAATTGGTATCAAAAATTTACTCAAGCTCTTAATGGAATAGGTTTTCGCCAATCGCGAGCGGATCACTCTTTATTTATTTTTCGACAAGGTCTCGTCACAACGTTTGCCCTCATCTATGTTGATGATGTGCTCCTAGCCGGAAATGATGGTTCTCACATTTCTACCATTAAAGAGTATTTAAACAACAAGTTTAGCATCAAAGACTTGGGTAAATTAAAATACTTCCTTGGCATTGAAGTTGCTCGTTCTCCAGAGGGTTTTGTCTTAAGCCAACGAAAGTATACTCTTGATATCTTGGAAGAAAGTGGGTTTCTAGCGGGCCGTCCCAGTTTGTTTCCCATGGAACAAAATCTAAAACTTCGTCCGGACGATGATAGCCAACCAGTAGATGCGTCTTCCTATCGCAGACTGATCGGGCGCCTATTGTACCTCACTGTAACTCGTCCAGATATTGTTTATTCTGTGAGTCAGCTCAGCCAATTCCTTTGTCATCCTCGACAAAGTCATCTCGACGCCGCCATCCGTGTGTTACGTTATCTAAAACAGACACCTGGTCAAGGAATATTTTTATCATCTGATAGCAATTTCAACTTAGAAGGTTATTGTGATGCAGATTGGGCTGGCTGCTCCTTCACCCGTCGCTCTAGCACTGGATATTTCATTTCTCTTGGAAATTCACCTATCTCTTGGCGAACAAAGAAGCAGTCAGTTGTTTCACGCTCTTCTGCCGAAGCCGAATATCGCGCCATGGCAGTCACAGTTAGTGAAATATTATGGTTGCGTTGGTTACTACATGACCTTACAGTTGACCAAATAGGACCCACGCCTCTTTATTGTGACAATCAAGCAGCAAGGCACATTGCACTAAATCCTGTTTTCCATGAACGCACAAAACACGTAGAAATGGATTGTTATTTTGTAAGAGAGAGAGTTGCTAGTAAAGAGATTCAGCCGGTATCTATCTCCACAACCAATCAAGTAGCTGACATTTTCACAAAAGCACTTGGCACTGATCGTTTTCAATTTCTCCGAAGCAAGTTGGGTGTTCGTAATCTTCACACTCCACCTTGAGGGGGAGTATTGAGATATTATTAATTAGCTAAATTATTAGCCTTTATTTTTCATTATTGAATATGTAATGTTTGGTGTTGATAAGATAGACATACGTGGTTGCATGTCATACATATGGCCCATGCACCACTTCCACCCCCTTTCCCATATCATTTGCTTGTAATATATATGTGTGTAATTCGTATATTCAATGTAAGAGACATGCATGCTAATATATTATGTTCATCTCACTTTTACTTGAGGCTTTTCTCATTTTCAACAGTTTCGTACTTTTAGAATATTTCACAATTTTATCAAATATATTTTAATCACTGATTTTATATTAAGTTTATTTATCATATTCAATTTTCTTTTGCAAATTGAATACACAGTAAAACTTTTAGCTAAATTTGTTGAATTTCGCTAGGCGGGACGAAGTCATGAAGTATGAGGTCAGGGAGTACGATTTTTGCTGGATCTGAATCACCTTTTAAAAAGAGAGATGGAGGGCCTGAGCTGTTACGCATCCCAAGTCGAGGACATATTAAGCGATGAAATTTAAATCTCCTGGTCAACAAAATTTTGCTTTAATTTGTGTTTTACTAAAGTAAAAATTAAATAATTAATTTTTTTGACAAATGTGTTTTTCTTTTTCTTCTTTTTAGTAACGTTCACCTTTAAATTAATTTATATTTAGAGCTTGTTTGATAATACTCATAATAGTGTAATACTCAAATCGGTTGTATTGGTTGATCATGCTGAAATTTATCATGTTCTGTCTGAAATAGCTGGATTGATTTTTTCTCATGATTTATGCAAAGAACTTGATTTAACATTAGCTATTTAGCCAATGTTAAAAAACATTGGAAAAGTAAAAGTGGAAATATCGCGTTCAGTTCACTTTTGTTAATTGCATATCATTTATGTCACTTAAATATTTAGTTTTCAATTTTAAACTTTTATCTTTTCACTTTTAATTTTTTATTTCAAAAATAACCTAGCTAAATCAAAACTAATACTCCGTAGTCTCAAGGGAGAAGATCGATCGTTGGAGATCCGGCCTGAAGCAGAAGCGTGTACAGCTGTTCTCCACCTGCTCGGCTCTTGCTGCGCCTCCAGCCTACGCGCTCTGCCCTCCGTCTTGTGCGGCTGCTCCGCGCGCCGTTATCCGTCCTGTACGGCTTTGCGCTCCGTCCTCCGTCCTCCGTCCTGTCATCTATATGTGGTTTACACTCTGAAGGAGATCTTGACTCGGCGTCCCCTGGCGGCTATAATCCGACTAAGGGTCGACATCGGCGCTACAAAGCCTGGATCACCAATATGCCCGGCTCTAGGTCAATCGAAGTTGAACTCCATTGATTTCTGCAAGGATTTTAAGTTTCAATGCCTGTACGCAGAAATACAGGTCTTGAACGCGTATGTCCGTTACGATGATGGCTTTCAAGGACGGAATCTTCGAATTCTATGTTGAAATCTCCCTCTGTAGCAGGCGGCCGGGTGGAGAGAGGCAGCCGCCGCTCTGGTAAGTCAGCCGCCTTTGATGGATTTTTCTGTTTGATTTTTGGATTCCCCGTTCAATTTGATGGATTTTTTTTGTTTGATTTTCAAAGTCAATTTGCTAAATGATTTTGCTCGTCAATTTTAGTTTTCTGCCTTTTGACTCTCCATTGATCTGAGTTTTTTGTACATAAACATAAATTGCATGGTATGATGTTATGGTAATGTTAATTTCTTCTGTATCTGTAAGTTCCATATGGTTGCCTTGTTTGATTGTTTTTGTATTCCTCTCGTTATACTACCGATTTGGTAAACCTCAAGCAATTGATTTACATCTGCAAATATATATGTTTATGAATCCACCTAACTTGTATCTCTTCTGCAGTTCACGGGTAAGATATTTTCTCTTTGCACAACAACGTAACAAGCTTCTGATATTTTGCTTAGTCAATTATTCAAAAATTGAAATCTTTGCACAATTTATTGAAACATGGTTTAGATCTTGGCGCCAAACAGAGTAACTCGTCACATAAACATGTTGTATTCCTGCCATCATATTTTGATGCCTTAAAATTCCTACCATCATGGCATCATATTTTGTGGATATATTTTGGTGCATCAATTATTCAGGTGTAATTGCAGGTGGATAATAATTGGTTTTAGATTTCTATCTAATTGCAGGTGCATAATAAAAGTACATTGAGATGATAGTAAGGTTAAGAAGATCAACAAGGAAATGAAGATAAAGAGACAAATATGATGGATTGTGTGTTATAAAAAGCATAAAAGGAAGAACAAATGAAGCATCAAAGCCAGATAATCTACTCTGTAATACATAGTAGATAAATGTAATAAATCGAGTTAACAGATTGTATTATACAATTATTGTGACATTTTTATACTTGTATGTTGTTTTCTTGTTTCTTTTTTATGTCTTGTAGTTGTCATTTTTTGTTGCATCGTGTTGCATATTGTTGCATCGTGTTGCTTATTATTTCTTTTGTTGTTTATTTAGGTTTATATATATCTTGGTCACTTTTTATGACTATTATCAACAACAAGAAACATGGAGAAACAACAAAAAAGTTATCAACAAAAAGAAACACAAAGAAACAATATGCTACAAAAAGTAACACTCACACAGTCACACACATATATAATCATAAATTTTGGTTTTTGAATACTACGTACTTCGTATTAATTAGCAACAACAACAAGCATGGAGAAACAACAAAAAACAACACTATAAAAGTTATCAACAAAAAGAAACACAAAGAAACAATATGCTACAAAAAGAAACATTTTTGAAAAATACATTACAAACCTAACATGTTTTATATTTTAAAACATTTTTGGTTATACTAAGTTTTTTTTATTTTAATAGTTCTAAAACACGTTTTCCTTATTTTACATTTTTTTCCTTATATTTTTTAGGTTTTTAGGGTATTTAACCATAGTTAGACCCTATTATTAAAATTTTGATTTATTTATATTTTTGAGAGTTTATATTTTGATATAATTTACGGAGTATTTAACTATTTGAAAAAATTATGACATTTTTTTTGTAGTTTTCCCACATTTGAGACTAACTCTAAATTTCTAACTACTTATTTTTCTACTCGTTATTTTTCTTATTTATTTTTCAAAACATAAATTACATTTTTTTGTATTTAAAAATTGATTTACAAGTTTCAAAATTTTCATTTTTATTATGCATTTATTGAGTTTTTATTTTATGAGTTTGATGTTTTCTTTCCTTTTTAAATTAGATTTCAATTTTTAGTTTTCTGGATTTTATTGTTTCTGAATTATTATAATATTTTAAATTTTAATACGGAGTAACTTTTAACAATTTTTTTACTACGTATATAAGAACAAGACATTCAGTAATAGCTATACCGAGTGTTTAGGAATCTGAAGTTAATATTCAAAATCCATGTACATAGCACGTGCAGTGGTGAGGAATTGAGGATTAGACCTCCGTCCTCTGGCAGTCTGGCCTTTAAGCGAGTTTCGACCGTTTCGTAGGAGTTAAGTCTATTTATGAAAACAAACGTTCCCCAAATCTATTTTTGAAAGGAAACTTGAAAACTGAAAAAAGTGATATTATTTTTGTTTTTTGGTCTAGTTGGGAAAAATTCCCAAAGTAAAATGGATGGGGATGTAATGGGCGAAGGGTGGTGTGGGATGAAATCCGTGAACTTATGGGCTACGACCCACGATGATTGATATGGAAAGAAAGGGAATAGCAAAGAAAGAAAGGAAAGAGTCCAAGAAGCACCGGTCGAATGGAAACATAGGGAAGAAGAAGTTAGTAGGGAAAGAAAAAGAAATGATTACATAAAAATGTGACTAGTGAGTAGTGACTAAAACTAATGAAATCATAGTAATTTATGTCCAATTTTTAAACTTAAGTTACTATCAGACTACATTGTAGTAATTTATAGTTATATTTGTGTAAATAAGTTTTATTTTAGTAATATTTGTGTAAAAAACTCAAAGAAGAAAAAGAGAAAGAGAAGAAAAAATAAAAGAAACAATAAAAAATAAAAATTATTGACATGCGGACACCCAGCTCAGCAATAACCGGCATAACCTGTATCCGATTGGCTAAACAACTAACTTGACCGCTTTTTAATACTTAGAGGATTTAATTAAATCATTTAAAAGTATGAGTACTCAATTGATTTTTTCGCAAAAATAGAAGGATCTATTCGACAATTTCCGTTTTTGAAGTTAACAAGTTGAGCCTCAACAAACGAAAGTTTGTAAATGAAAAATATATAATTATGTCACATAAATGAAATACAATTAGAATATTGAGCCTGTTTGGCAACCCTATTTTTTGGCTTAACAGGCCTATCAGCCAACTTTTTCACCAAACACGTAAGTTTTGATTTCGCGCGCTGGATTGTGTAATAAGCAGAAAAAGTAAGGCTGGAGTTACTTTTATGGCTGTATTGACTAAAGTTATTGGCTGCGTTTGGGAATTGGCGTTTCAGCCTGAAAATCGGAGGATTTGACCAATTTGGCGTTTTCAACGGTTGAAATCGCTGCTTCTTATTGTTTGGCAAAGAGCGATTAAACTTAGCGTTTGGGGTGATTCCGCCAAAAACTAAAACGCCAGAGATAGGAGCGTTTAGATTTGGCGTTTTCAATTAATCACTGGATTCGCAATCGTGCCCTCTCATCTTCACTGGATTTGTTCTTGCTGCAGATACGTGAAGTCTATCCATCTAGGGTACAATGCTTTTAGTGGCTGATTTGCTGCGGAAGACACATGCTAAACAGAGCTTCAAGGAAGAATTTTTCTTAAAGCACCGGTTGAATGTTCCCTGTAAGAATTTTTTCCCTAGCGTTTTGGCTGATTTCCTATGGAAAACACATGTACGGTGCGTCGGTGCTTTTGGTGGCTGATTTTTTCTCCTCTAGAACTCGAACACTCTCTTGGGTCTAGGGGTGGCAGCGGGTCGGATATATAACGGGTGAAGGCTCATCCACGTCCACCCGTTAATTTTTTATATTCCACCTACCCGTCCATCATCCATTAAAAATTACATCCACATCCAACCCATTCATCATGAGCGGGTTATCGGGTGGATCGGGTGAGTAACGGGTGAATACAAATTGTCCAATTTAAAAGATAAAATAAATAAATTATAAGTAGAAATCGTGACATTTAAAAACCAAAAATTCAGAATTCATTGAATATTAACAACAAAAACTTGAGCAATGAAGTATATTATAGTCATTAATTGACTATCGATAAAGAAAGAACTAATTGTAAAAAAAAAACACATAAAACTTCTTCAAACTGTCAAATTTTACATTTCTGCATTGGTACACAAACTATTTTGCAGTTCAACTTCTTTATTTATATATACTACGTAGTATTAAATAGATATTATATATATTAATATATTAATATATACTATATATTATATATTATATATTATATATTATATATTATATATTATATATTATATATTATATATTATATATTATATATTATATATTATATATTATATATTATATATCTATTAATATATTAATAATTATATATATTAATATCTATTAATATATTAATATCTATATATATTAACATCTATTAACATATTAATATCTATAAACATACTGTCTTCTCCACATATATCTATTCATATATTAATATTGTCTATTATATATAATACTCCCTCCGTCCCGAAAACAACTTCCCGGTTGGACTTTCACACACTTTAAGGAAATAAATTTGACTTTACTGTAGAATGCACTGTTTTGCACTGTTTAAACACTGTTTGGCACTGTTTAAACACTGTGTGACACTGTTTAAACACTGTTTGGCACTGTTTAAACACTGTTTGGCACTGTTTATCACTTTTTTTTATGTAGATAATTTGCCAAATAAGGAAAGTATTGAAGTGTGAAGTTAATTTTGGGACATCCATTTAAGGAAAGTGGGAAGTTGTTTTCGGGACGGAGGGAGTATTAAATAGATATTATATATATTTATATATGCGGGTTAGCGGGTGGGTGGATGGAGCAGATGACGGGTCGGGTGATGGGTTGGATGAGTGTTCATCCACACCCGATCCAACCCGTATTTCAATCCACCCGTCATCCATTTTTCATCCATACTTTTTCGGGTTTTCATCCATTTTTTCGGTTCGGGTTGACCGGGTATCCGTGGGCGCAGGTGATATTGCCAGCCCTACTTGGGTCGTTGGCGTAGATATCATTTTGATTTGTACTGGTGCTTTTAATCGACCGTGTACTCTGCTTTGAGTGAGAAAATAATAGGTTAAAACATAAAAAAACTACAACGAATATACGAAGTATAATTGTGGTTTGAATTCGTATATGAATGTCCTTTTCCAGTAAGTTCGTATAGATGATCACAATAATATGAATGTCAGTTAAATGATAAGGATTCGATGATTAAAGAAACTAATAAATATTTGTTAATGTCCTTATATGTCTTTTTATCTATTAATCGCTAGGATCAAACAGCTGTTTTACTAAACATCTTTTTACAATCCGCTAAATGAATCCGCTGGTCAAATCCGCTAACACAATCCGCCGTTAGCAATCCGCTAACATAATCCACTAATCGCCAACGGCTAACAGCTGATTGCCAAACATCCCCATTGTAGATGACCATTTTAGCTATTTTTACATATAACTTTTTCTTTATTTCATTAATAAAATATATTTTAAAAATAATTTTTTCTTATATCAGCATAATCAGCCAATGCAGCCACTTCGGCCAGAACTTCATAAATTTCAGCATAATCAGACAAAACAGCCGATTTTCGTGCTACTAAACGGGCTCATTATTAGGGCTGAGCACGGGTCGGGTTCGGACGGGTCGGGTCTGCGTACTTTAAACCCGTTTGGGTTTTTTAAGTTAAATACTAGGCCTGACCCTTTGATATTTCAAATCGGGTTTTTCGGATATTTGTAAGTCGGATATTATTGGATATCGGATCGGGTTTCAGATATTTTGGTTATATTAAAAAAAATATAATTGGATAATTAAAGTGTTTGAATGTCAGTTAGACAAAAATTCTACAAACTAGTGCACTAAACATTCAAATTACACAAATAATTTAATACAAATTGCATAAATAATTGAACACAAGTATTAATTTAACATATTCAAAGTACACACTACATAATTTAATATATTTCGAATATTTCGGTTATATTAAAACATATTATAATTGGATAATTAAAGTGTTGGAATGTCACTTTGACAAAAAAATGTATACGCTAGTGCACTACGCATTCAAATTACAAAAATAATTTAACACAAATTGCACAAATAATTACACAAATAATTGAACACAAGTATTAATTTAACATATTCAAAGTACACACTAAATTATTTAATATATTTCGGATATTCGGGCGGGTCGGGTTGGGATTATACAAACCCTACCCGCCACCCGATCTAGGGCCAATACTAATCGGATTTTCGGTTTCGGGTTTTTCGGGTCGGATATCCATTTCGGTTCGGATAATATCCGAAAAACTTCGGGTTTTGCTCAGCCCTAGTCATTATAGACTGAATAGAACATTTCCACTATCTAGTTTAGGTAAGAAAAGCCCAAAAGTGAACTAAATGTTAGGCCTGTTTACAAATTTACATATACAGGCCTTACAAATTTCAAATTGCCTAGGATTTGGCAAAGTCGCGCTCTGACCGGACCTCCTTCCGGCGTAGCTCAGTTTAGGTTTACTAACTGATCAAGATTCAAGGTTTGGCGAATTTGGAAAGTACCGGAAAACGGAGGAGGTAAAACTATCATAAAGTACATCTTAAAACTAATTTGAGCCGAATTGTTTTCAAGTCGCTACTTCGTTTCTGGTTCGAGTTTCTTTGAGTTCAATTTTTCTGTTGAACTCCATGTGATTCTTTGTGCAACTTTGAGTGTTATTGAGCTATTTCAGGTATGGTTTAGTCATTGCTTCGCCTATTTGTTTCCCTTTCAAATTAAATAATTTTTTACAAGAATCGTGAATTTGAGTGGATGGGTGAACAATTCGCAGGTTCTGAAGTTCATGATACTCCTATAGAATTTGCAATAGAAATAATGAAAAATATACTCCGTATTATTTATTGACCATTTTACTAAGAATATTAGGGATGCGTTCTTTCCAGTAGAGCATTCATCATGGAGTGGTCGTGGGTAAAAAAAATACAAATAAATGATAAATTAGGTGAAGAGTTTTATAAATGCAAAGTATTTTACCGTTTCTTGCTTTTCAATGAGCTGTTTCATCAACTGGAATGAGCGTATTCCTAAAAAGTTATGATCTGTATAGTAATATTTTGGGAAAGCCCCCTCCAAAATAATTACCTGTAGCAGGCATCTCGGTTGATTATCTTTTTATTTGAGGCATTAATGTTCCAGCATTATGTATGTTTATACTTTATATACTTTTGACTATTTTAGAAATGACTTTTTAGCTATGTTTGAACTCAGAAAATTGTTGAGTTTCCGAAATGAAGATTATTAAATGCATTCCTTTAGTAGTTCCAAAATAGGAAGCTATAAAAACTGTTTTGGGCTTTCTCCTTTATGTCGGTATGATTCACATCTTTTTTACATTTAAGGAAACCACAAGGTATCAGAAACAGTAAAAACTATTCTCAGCTGTGCCTGTGCAGCTACGCGAAATGTTGCAGAAATTAGTAACTTGCAACAACAAATAAATCTACCTAAAGAAAATCAGAAAGGTGTTGCAATGGAGATGCAACAGATCATTGAAAAATATGAAATGGTAAATACCTTTTTGTTTTTAAAGTTGTAAAGTTTTATTGTTGTAAAAATTATTTTAATATTTTGGTGTGCAGGGAAATAAGGCATTGACGAATGCTCTACTAGAAAGAGTGTATCCTAATATTCTTTATAATAGAAGTTGTTGGCATGTTTCTCTCATGCTTTATTTTGTGAAATATAGAAAAAGTCATTGAGTTGTTATTTGTTAATCTGACTCAGTGTCTCAGAGGTTTGAGTTATTCTAATCATGAAGTTTTCCGTAATCGTTGTCCAATAGTAAACTTATTGAAATGACTGGAAACGAAATACAGAGACTGAGGGCTTATCTGCAGAAAATGCAGCACCAGAACCTTCAACTAGCACAATCAAATACACAGAAGCTTGCAGTTTGTTCTGATTTACCCGTGTTAAAATTAGTCAAAATACTTATGAATCCGAAATTCTGACTTATATGTGATGTTTTACTTTCGTATTGCAGGAACTAAAATTATGCAGACAGCAGGTAAGCATTGTTGCCTTGAATCGTTGAGTAAACATATAAAATCATGGAATCCTATTTTCCTTGATATAATATATTTGAAATTTTAATTGATATTAGATGAAAACATTACAACACGACCTTGGATGCAAAAATGGAATGCTCAAGGCTATGAAGTTAGAAGCTGAGGTTGGTGTGGTATAGTTTTATTTCATTCTTTTTTTAATAAAACTTCCATACTTGTCACTGCTTTTGTTTCTTGAACAGCCTAAGAAAGTAACCCCACATAGAGAGATATTCCTAAATACAATACCTGAGGTATAGTCTAAATTTATATATTTCTTTTCAAAATTTCCAAAACAGTGTTGGTATTCTTTTGCATCTTTACCTCTCTGATTCACCCTCTCCAGGCGCAACCTATTAGAATGGAGGAGGAGGACATAGTGGATGACTTAAATGGAGATGCAGATAAAGATTATAGTGGGTTTCAAAAGTCTAAAAGGAGAAGACAGTCAAAGAGTCAGTGTTTCTTTTGTTCTTAAAATTATCTATTGCCACTGCAGTACAATTTAGCTTGAGTAACTTCTTTTTCATTTTTTCGATTTAGGTTCAGCACCATCCAATCATCAAGTTCAGCCACGTGTCAACACCGATATAAAAAGGTTTTTCTACAATTTAAGATAAGTAAATGAATAAATGATGCGAACTTGATTCCTTAAGAAATCAGAGGTTTCACGAATGATATTTTTGCAGGCTTTCAGTAAGAAAGCTATCTGGTAGGCTTAAGCATGAAGAAATCAAAGAGGAAGAAGAATGGTTTCAGATAGATGATGATGATGATACTCAGTTGTCAGTTCATCCTAAAAGTGATTATAATCCTGTCCTGGAAAATGTTGAAAAAGATCCCTTTCAAAATGAAGCGAAGGATTTGATGCTATCATCTCTAAGTCGACCCTCAAGGCAAGCAGCAAAGAAAGTCCAATCATACACGGAAATCCCTTTAAATGCTAAAATGCTAAGCGAGCGATGAACACAGCTGTTTTAGTTATCTCAAGTAGATTTCATTCCATTTGTTGTATTATTATATTAACAAACTGGTTAGAAGCCTAGAATCTGGGGAGAAAAACTTTGATTACTACTCAAAATTCCTGGAGAAATTTCAATCTTGCAATTATTTTAAATCCAGAAATTGGAGGCTTTAATTAATTGTAAATTGCACGTGAAGAAGTTAAAAGGCAAAATCCTTATCTTGCACAGTCATCACTTTAAGCCCAACTATGTCAGTATGTACTTTAGTGACAAAACTTTCATCAGATTTTTCACTCTAACTACATGAGAAATTACAGAGAGCCCATGTTTTTTGCACATATTAAACTGCCGTATTTCTAAGTGCCAAAATGTTACTATGTTATTTATTTGGGTTTCATGCAAGATTTATAAGATTCCATTTACGAAAATGTTTCACATGAACTCCTTAAAAAGACTTTTGGAAGACATGACATATTTGAGTAGACTTGAGGTTTGAGATTTTTACTTGAAGGAGAGGTTTGAGAATTGTGTATCACAAACTTCAGAAAAATTGCTAATGCTGTTTCAATGAAGTTTTTTTTTTACTTGGTACATTTTTGCAGTGTGTTGTGATATATCTTGCGTCCTTCTCCTTGCCCCCACCGTATGGTGGGGGATACGGTAGATACTATTTTAGGTTAGCTTGGTAGCTTAGATAATTTTGAATTTTTTGACATTTGGATGCATTATACTAAATTAAAATAAAAAACCGGTGTCCTTTGGAGCAAATGAAAATTACATAGTACATAGATATGATTAGAGTTGAGAGATCCATTGAGACAAGACAGATACTCGAACCAAATGTTACATGTCACGGTGATGCTTCCCTCGCCACATTAACAGCCCCATTCATACGTTATGTGTACTAGCACTTCAAACAAAAAATCGAAAAATTGAGACAAATTGGCAAATAGATTAAATAAACGTTTTAATCATATAGTCATGTGACAAATATCATGAAAGAATGGCACAGATATTAGTAGCCATCTTTCACTAGGCAAATATACAGGGCCGGTCCTAGGGGGGTGCAACAGGGGCGACCACCCTAGGCCTGAAAAAATAGCAGAGAAAAATAGGCCCAAAATTTCGTCTTTATATATAGTGTGAGTAGACTTCTTTTTTGTATTTAAGCTCAAGTAATTAGGTCTAAGGTTTAATTTTGTTGAAAATTTAAAATTTTTAAAACAAATGTTAAAAGGCACGCGGCCGACCTCTTTGAGTAGTTAAGTCTCTTCACATCTCTATGGTTTATAATTCTTTTAATTACAAAATTATCAAAATATTTATTGTCTCTAACTCTTTATATAGCACATGTGTCTCCCAAACTCCCAATTCATAAATCACCCCATCCCACTAACCTAATTAATTCGTTGGACGGTGGTTTCCATGTTCCAATTAAACTCAATTATCTAAGAAACTAAAGGGTTAAGGTTTAATAAGGTTTTGACCGTCTACACAAGAGTAGACATTAGAGACCGCTGCAAGCATGCAAGTAGCCATTTGCCAAAGCGGTCAGCGGTGAGGAGCCCAAATAGCAGCCGACGACTAGAACACATTCTCCTGTCAAGGCTTCAAACAATCTGACAACGACCAGTAAATTATTCTTAATCTATTAGCTATGAATAATAAATCCACTAAATGTTCTTTTAATTTATGAATTATGATTAATGATTTATATGATGCATTTTTAGTGTCTTGGTAAATTCATATTTGTGTGGTAGTGTGCAATTTTGAAATGGAATTCCTTTATTTAGTTTTACTATTGTGAAGGTGCTTGATAAAATGGGTGAATCTGGTTGGGAAAAAGAGAAAAACAGAAAAATATTAGAAAATGCAGCCTTAAGTAAGAAGGGGACAATGGAAAATTTTGTGTTTTGTTAATAAATTGATTTCCGAAAACTCTTTTCAAGTTGAATCGCTGCTAAATTCTTTTGCGAATGAAAACCATAACATGCTTGGAAATAGTGATATAAGTGCAGAAGCCGCAAATAATGAAATTGAGCCAGATAAATGTAATTTAGATGAAAAGAATAAACAAGTGGTGGGTCCTGTTTCGTTGATCAATATTGAGAGATTACTTTGTGTCTTAAACATAGGCTCAAGATAATATTTCGCCCATAGGCCAGAAAATCGACAGGACCGACCCTGCAAATATATATCACTAAAATTGACCTGGACACAAAACTGATATCCTCGACATATCCCACACGCAGCTACTTCGCAGCATCCCAGAGAATCAAACCAGATCTATATCATCAAGAACTTTTCGATCGGCCATTGCACCATAGCCTTCGCAGCAACTCCGCAGCAGCAACACCGTCGTCATCTTCGATGATGCACCATCTTTCTGCACTCCGCCGCCCTTCCTTTTCTTCTCTTTCTCTGTGACGACATACGGAACAGAGGTAGCTGATTCAGAACGCTAAGTAGCGAATTCGAGCTTCGAAGGTGGTTCTAGGGGCGGTAGTGTTGTTGATTCGTCATCGATGTTGTGTATCAGGGATTCAGGGGTTGATTTTGAATTTGTCTCTCACAGGGATTGGACGAATTCGAGCTTCTGATTTGGGGCGTCGTTGCTGGTGGGGTGGGACAAGGTCGGTCCATGGTGGTGCGGTGGTGTTATGGCTACGGTTTCTGGCGAACTGGCCGGAGAATGGCCTGTGGGAGGACCGGATGATAGGGGCGGGACCAGGGGAGGTGGGCTGGGGGCCGGGGAACTAGGAGTGGGGCTAGGCAGGGGCTGGGTTGAGTTTGGTCAGATCTGGAGTTGGGGAAGGTGGCTGGGGCCAGAGCAGGGTGCTGGGGATGGGGGCTGGGGATGGGGAAGTGGCTGGGGATGATGAGGTGGGCCGTGGTAGACTGATTGTGGTGGAGGGATGTGGCAGTGGCTGGGGATGAGGAGGTGGGCGGTGGTGGACTGGTTGTGGTGGAGTGATGTGGCAGTTGCAGGGGCTGGGGGCTGGTTGTGGTGGTGGTGCGGTTTTGCAGCGATTTTGCGATTTTGGAGTGGCTGAGCTCCGGGGAAGGTCACTGTTGAGGTGAAAGTTACCGCCGTGGCGGCCGGCGGCCCGACGGCGATGATGGTCAGTGACATTACCGGCATGGAGGTAGTTTCACGGGAGCAGTGACACCCCGTGACAATGTCACACGACAATGTCACTGTGAAAAAAGTTGAATGGCGTGACATGTTTCATGGCGTCAGTGACACGCGCGGAGGCTATAGTGACACGAGTGGTGACAGCGACATGAACGGTGGCTACAGTGACACAGGCGGTGGCTGCAGTGCCACGGACGGCGGCTATAGTGACATGAGCGACGGCTACAGTGACATGGACGGTGGTTGTAGTGACATGGGTGGTGGCTGTAGTTACAAAAAAAATGAACACGCAGTGACATAAAAGTTTTGCAGTTACATGATGTTTTCTAATTGCACATATATGACCTTTTTGATCACTTTTTTGCCCATTTTTAAAAGTGATCACTTTTTGAGTAATTGGTTCAAAATTAGTAATATCCAAGAAAAAACCCCAAATATCATTCTTACTTTATTCTTACTTTATGAGTTCAATATCAAACACATAAATTCACTTTTCTTAATAATCACACCACTTATCATGTGTCAATGTTAGTGGGAAGGAAGGTAGTATTCCGTAATATGGATCAAGCGGGTATAGTGCTGGACTCGGGTCGGGCGGCCCGGTACGGAACCGGCCCGGCCCGGTTACTGTTTGGCCCGGCCCGGGGCCCGGTGGGTCCCTCGGTTCGGTTCGGCCCGGCCCGGCTGTTGGGCGGTTCGGGGCCGGGCCCAGGTTTTGGTGAACCGGCCCGGCCGGTTCGGGCCCGGTCCGGGCCGGATTTTAATTTTTTTTTTTTTGAAATTTTTTTAAGTTTTAGGTTGGATTAGGTATTTTGGGCCATTTGAGGTGGTTTGGGATGGTTTGGGGTTGAGGGGGAGGGGTAGGGGATTAAATAGGAGAACAAAAAAAAAATTATTGGGCCGGTTCGGCCCGGCCCGGTTTGGCCCGGAACCGGGACCGGAACCGGCCACCGGCGGTTCGGGCTCGGGCCTCCCTTTGCTGGCCCGAGGCCCGGCCGGGCCCAGGCCCGAACCGGGCCCGAACCGGCCCGAGTCCAGGCATAAGCGGGTAGTTGTGGAGACGTAGTGCAACAAATATCTTTCATGGTTATCAATAACCGCATTCTTATTGTTTCTGCAACTTCATCGACTTATTGTGCTTGAAAGTCATTACAATTTACCAACCCGCTCCTAGCTAACCATTTTTTGGGAAGGTCGAAGCGTTCGTGACAGCGTGAAAAATATTTGTTTTATAAGAAATGAGGCAGTGATTACATTGGTGAATGGACTTACTTCTCCACTTTTAAAAAAACTACAAAGTTGAAATACTACGTATTTAAAAGGAAAACGATAATCTGATCTATGGGCTGAAGTTGGTATAGTAGATGGTGATTTTTTAGGTTATACGAAGTACTACGTATATAAAGAGAAAAACATTACCACTCACTTTATTCTCATTCAGTGGCGGAACTAGGGGGCGAGCCGGTCAGGGCCGGTCCTGTCGATTTTCTGGCCTATGGGCGAAATATTATCTTGGGCCTATGTTTAAGACACAAAGTAATCTCTCAATATTGATCAACGAAACAGGACCCACCACTTGTTTATTCTCTTCATCTAAATTACATTTATCTGGCTCAATTTCATTATTTGCGGCTTCTGCACTTATATCACTATTTCCAAGCATGTTATGGTTTTCATTCGCAAAAGAATTTAGCAGTGATTCAACTTGAAAAGAGTTTTCGGAAATCAATTTATTAACAAAACACAAAATTTTCCATTGTCCCCTTCTTACTTAAGGCTGCATTTTCTAATATTTTTCTGTTTTTCTCTTTTTCCCAACCAGATTCACCCATTTTATCAAGCACCTTCACAATAGTAAAACTAAATAAAGGAATTCCATTTCAAAATTGCACACTACCACACAAATATGAATTTACCAAGACACTAAAAATGCATCATATAAATCATTAATCATAATTCATAAATTAAAAGAACATTTAGTGGATTTATTATTCATAGCTAATAGATTAAGAATAATTTACTGGTCGTTGTCAGATTGTTTGAAGC